CGCCGGACAGCCGACTACTTCCCCACCAAGAACCGGCAGCGYGTGGGCTGCTTCCGCGTCCCCATGGTCTATGCCACCTTCCTGATCGACCTGCGCAAGGAGGAGACCTCGCRATTGGCTTTCTACCCTCCCCATCCCAACTACACCTGGGCCTTCGAYGACATCATTGTCTTTGCCTACTCCTGCCAGGAGGCTGGTGAGGGTGATGAGGGTTTTGGGAGGTGCAGGGGCTTGTGGGGGCTGTGGTGCTCACCTGTCCCACCTGACAGGCGCAGAGGTCCATGTCTGCAACCAGCACCGCTTTGGTTACATCAATGTCCCTGTGAAGGCCCATCAGACGCTGGAGGATGATCGTGCCAACTTTGTGCATCTCACGCTGGAAGCCATGGGTGAGTGCCCGTGGGTGAAGGGATCCTGGAGGCCTCCAGGTCCTGACAGAGCTGTCACCCCCGGCTCCCAGCCAGGGGAATCTGGGGTCYGCTGAAGGATGTTTCCTCTCTGCACAGTGGATGGTCCCCCCATGCAGCGCTCCAGGCACATTTCCCTCCTGCCCAGGCCACTCACAAAAATGGGCTTTGATGAAGTAAGTGCCCAATGGAGCCATTTGTGTCTCCCTGTCCATCCCTCTGGTTGTATCCATCCAGGGCAGAGCCCAAACCCCTGTCCCCAGTCTGCAGCAGCTGGACAAGCTGTGTCCCCCATGACAACATGTCCCCTTGTGGGCTCTCCCCTTCCTCTCCAGATCTTCCTGATCAACCTGGTGCGGAGGCCAGACCGGCGGCAGCGAATGCTGGCATCCCTGCAGGAGCTGGAGATCATCCCGTGGGTGGTGGATGCTGTGGATGGCAGGTGACCATGGGGGCACCACTCACCAGTCCCTGGTGTCACCCCTGGGGAGGGAACTGGGACTGGCTGCGGGGACACCTCACTGATGCAGCCGCTCTCCTTGCAGCACCCTCAACAGCAGTGACATCAAGGTGCTGGGTGTGGACCWGCTCCCTGGGTACTACGATCCCTTCTCTGGCCGCACGCTCACCAAGGGCGAGGTYGGCTGCTTCCTCAGCCACTACAATATCTGGAAGGAGGTACGGGGCCASGGAGGCCATGGGGACACTGTGAACATCACCGGTCTCTAGAGGACCTGGGGAGAGGGATGTCCTGCAGGGTGAGTGGCCCCAATAGGGCCAAGCGTGGTGCTGGGATAGGCTTGCACCTCTGTCCCCTCCCCCAGATTGTGTCCCGGGGGCTGGAGCGGTCAGTGGTCTTTGAGGATGATGTGCGCTTTGAGGCTGCCTTCCCAGCACGGCTGCAGCGGCTGATGGAGGAGYTGGAGCAGGCACAGCAGGACTGGGACCTCATGTAGGTGCTGAGGCCAGGAGCATGTGGGGTGGGGGGCCTCTAGGGCTGTCTCTCATGGTTCCCTGGCCACYCCACAGCTACCTGGGGAGGAAGCAGGTGAATGACGAAGATGAGGCACCCGTGGARGGTGTGCGGAACCTGGTGGTGGCCGGGTACTCGTACTGGACGCTGGCGTACGCCATCTCCCACCGTGGGGCACAGAAGCTGYTGGCCACCAAACCCCTCTCCAAAATGCTGCCAGTGGACGAGTATCTGCCCATCATGTATGACAAGCACCCCAAGTAAGGAGCAGGGGGTGCAGGAGGGTGCTGGCCTCGCTGTGCCGGTGAGGGAGCATTTCTTCTCTGCTATCACCATCTCACCCGGTCCYCCCCTTGCCAGCATTACTCATGCTGGAGGAAAACATCTGTAGCATGAGCTCATTCCCAGCTGGCCGCTGGCTCGCCACTGGCCGCTGGAAAATGGCTTTCTGCCAGTGTGGGGTGGGGGGACTGGGACAGAGCTGGGGCCTGATGTGGGCCTTGCACAGGGTCTTGGCCYCATGGCAAGGGGCGGGGAGCTGTACCCTGGTGCTGGGGGGCTGTGTAGTCCCCCACCCCTGGYTGGGGTCTCAGCCCCAATTTGGAGCACTTGCATGCCCCTCTGGGGTGGGAGTCAGTGGTAAGGCTTTGCCTGGGGATGGGGGAGGCAGTTTAGGGGGTGAATGAGCACCAGTGTCCTGGGAGAGAAGAGATTGGGAAAGCCAGTGAGCAGGACAGAGAAACACAGGCATCAGGCATGTAAAAGGCAGGCTGGAGGTGGACAGAGGGGTGGATTAAGGCTCTGGATGTGCACCAGGAGCAGCTGGAAGCCTCATGTTTGCAGGGATAACAGCACTAGACAGCCCTGGCTCAGGGCCAGCTGGACCCTGTGCCAGACCCACTCCATGCCAGAGCTGGCCCCGGGAGGTGGGGAGCGACAGGTCCTGTCCTTCCTGTAATCCTCCACAGTYCCTCCCCAGCCTTCCACAGCCCCATGCCTGTACCCCACCTCCCTCCCTATCTTCTGACCTGCATGGAGCCTTCCCTGGGTGATTGATAYGATTTTCCCAGTGCTTTTTCTCCTCTGTGCCATGCTCTGTAAGCCAGTTTCTCCTCTCTGGTCTGCTCCACTTTTCCCCAGTGAGGATTACAAGCGGCACTTTGCCCCACGGGACTTGCTGGTGTTTTCGGCTCACCCCCTCCTGGTTTATCCCACTCATTATGCTGGGGAAAGCAACTGGCTGAGTGACACCGAGACCTCCACCATCTGGGATGACGATGCCAAGAAGACTGACTGGGTTGGCTCACAGAAGACCCTGAGAGACTCACGGGGCAGTGCTGGCCACCTCCGCTCTACGGCCCGCGACGAACTCTGATGGTGAGCRAGGCTGTCAGACCTGGGCACAGGGGACAGAGTAGCTGGGGAGCGTTTCCCTGCAAGTGCCACGTTTGGATGTGTCCCAAATGCCTAGCTGCTTTTTGTCATGGGGTAGCAACTTTCCCCATCAGATTCAAAGCACTGGGAAACAGACCAGGTGGGAAAAGGGATTGGGACACAAATGTCCCATRTGGGGGTGTACTGGGCTGGAGGGGACCAGGGGATAGGGCCCTGCTGGTCCCTGAGTGCATGCTGCTCCCAGCTCCTCAAGTGARGAAAGGAGAACACTCCTTTTCCTGCTGCAAAAGTCTCCTCAGTGTGGAAAGAGCTGGGGCATCTCCCAGGGGAACATTTCACCACAACATTGCTTGCTCCCCTCAGAAGTGGGTCTCCCTTGGGCTGTGCCTCAGGCAGGCAGGCAGGCAGGCGACCCACACTGGCTCAGCCCCAGGGCAGCATGGCCACAGTTAATGCTAGGTCAGACTTTCCCTGCCTGAGGTTGCTTGTCCTGGCAGCAGAACTGCCCTGGGARCTGCCAGACGGGGGGAGGCTGGAAAACGGCCCTCCCATTGCCTCAGCTGCAGGCGTGAACATGTCAGGGTTGCTCCTGCTGTGACTGCTAATGTCTGTGTCCGTGCCTCCTAGGGATGAGGGATCGTGACCCAGATGGAAGCACCATGGGCCAGGACCTGATCCTGCCTGCTCCCACTCAAGAGATGCAGCTGCCCYGGACAGAGCCCCACAGGGTTCTTTGCATGTGAAAAATCCACCGAAGGCAGGATTTGCCTCAAGAGAGCCTTTCCCTGCCAAGTGGACAGATCAGAGGAGTGCTGTGYTCCTTCTCTGCTGAGGACACATCTCCAGGACTGTCCCAAGTGATGCCAACTCCGCCRTCTCCCGCTGGCCTGGACTTTGGGGAGCGGACTTTGGGCTGGCCCCTGTGGTGGCCTCCTGCCACTGACTGGGCTTGTCCCTCGTGCCATGCCTGGATGGGAGCCTAGGGAGGATTAAAGCAGACTGTTTGAGCTGATGTGCTGGGTGCTGGCATTGCCCSAAGTTCCCAGAGCATTATCCCACTGGGATGTCCTCAGTGCTGCAGGGCGAGGGTCTGGCAATTCTCCCAGCTGGGAACTTTGGGAATGAAATCTGTAAGGGGAAAGGGAGGGAAGGACAGAGGTGGGGTGGGGAAGAAGACTGATGCTCACCCTTGGGTCTGGGTGTGAAAGGTGGGTGGCATCTGCTCACCCTTGGGGTCTGGGTATGAAAGGTGGGTGGCATCTCCACAAAGCTCAGCTGTCCCCTGGGAATGGAGGTAATGTTGGTAGCAGACACCCACAATGAGATGTCTGAGATCACCAAGTGACTCAGGAAAGCATCATCTGGGGCAGGTTGAACAGCTACAGCAGGGACCCTCTGAAGAAAAACAACCAGTCCAGATCACATGGGGACCTGAAGATCCGAGTGGATCACGTGGGGACCTGAAGATCCGAGTGGATCTGCTGGAGAACAGGGAGAAGGATGTGGCCAAGTGCCTGTTCTGCAAGTGCAGGGTCTCAGCCAGTACAGACACCGGTGAAGGGATGACGGGTTGGGGATACTTTAGCTTCCCAGTTCTTCCCCCGTCCCAGGCAGCCTCAGTGCTCCAGGAGGAGCTCAGGAGCTGGGGATGAAGCAGGTCTGGTGCCAGTTGGAGCAGAGGATGGAAGTGGCAGCAACACTGTGGTATACGTCACCCAGCAAGGGTCCCAGTGCTTGTTCCAGYGCCTGCTGGGATGTAAGAGAGGAGCTGCCTGTGGTGGGTGTCTCAGTACTCGTGGGGTAGAGAACTGAGCAGGATGTGCTGGCACAGCCCAGGGCTCTGGGACACAGAACTGGTAGGGACACACTGCCTTGGTCTGCCCTCTCCACCACGAGACCTGCAATGGGTCTGTGARAAGCCAGAACTCCTGCAGCTGTTGGAAATTCCAGGATTTTGGCTAAAACCACTGAACTCAGTAACACTGTGAGGCCAGCCCTGGAATTGCAGCTCAGTGGGAGCAGCACACTAAAAGATTCCAGGCTGTTTGTGCTTGCCAGTTTCTCAACAAAGCTGAGTTGCCTTTGGACCCTACAGAATTAGCTCCCATTGCTCCCCACTTCTCACGAGAAGCCTCCCTTCAGACTGTGCTGGTTGAACAGGGATGGGAACACAAATTTGAGCTGCAGCGCCAAGGACAACCCGAGCCCCGCAGGTGCTGCATAGAAGACAGGCAGGAGCAGGGCAGTCAGGGTGAAAGTTTATTTCATTTCTGTGTTAACTGAGGTRTGGAGCCTCTGCAGAGATCTGAGTGGGACACGAGCTGCCTGGATTGGTGTGGGGATGGAAGGAGGCTGCCCCAGCACCCAGCCAGGCTGTCCGGAACAGCTACCTCTGCTCTGCACCATGGTCACTCCRGAGAGCCCACAGCACTCTGGCCATCAGCCACAAGGGTGTGTGATCAGTRATTTGTGTCAGCCCCTGTCCCCTGGCTCTGCAGGCACTCGGCTCTGGATGTGCTCCAAGAGGCAGGTCACTGCCTGGGCCAGGATCTGCTCAAGCTTCTCCCGCTCCCCAGCACTGAACGGAGACAGGACATAGTCAGGCACCRTCACATCACCCTCTGGTCGCCCGATGCCGACCCTAAGCCGGGTCATCTCCTGGGGAGGAAGGAAGAGAGCTGGGGGAGCTTCCCTTGACGGCTCAGACAGAGCTAGGCAAGGGGACAGTGGTGCTGGGCAGCAAGGGAGCAACTCCTCATGTTTTCCAGGGGTTTTGAGTGCTTGTTCCAAGAAACATGATTTTGGAAGAGGCTTTTGCTAGGCTGTGCTAAGATCCCAGGCTCCTGCCAGGCCTGGCAGAGCTGCTGAAGTTAATTGTTTCCATGTCCTCCATGGTGGCCAAACAGACATCAGCCCTCCGGGAAGGAGAAGGAGAAAAGGGGAGAAAGGGAGCAGGGGCTTGTCTGAGGAKAGTCAGAAAAATGGGAGTGGGGGGACAAGCCATGCATTGAGGGGAGCACAGGATTGATCCCCATCCACTGAGGCCCACTCACGTTGGAGTGCAAAGCACTGATGCAGGATTGGACCCCGTTGTGTCCCCTTGGGAGAGAAAGAGAAAACGCACAGTTAGTCTGTAAGAGACACCCCCCAGTACAGCACTGAGGTCTCCTGCTGCAGGGATGTGGGAACGTGGTCTCAGCCAGGGGCTGCAGTCCCCATGTCCTGGTTCTGCAGAAACATCCAGCCCTGGAGGCTCAGAGCAGCTAGCTGGGAGGGTTGAGAGAAGCAGGGCTAGGACAACATGTTCTGTCTCAGCTCTTGCCACAGCTGTGTGACTGAGCACTGGGGCCCAGCACCATCCCTGCCCCATCCCACAGTGGAAGCTTTCCTAGGTTAAATATCTGCAGCCTGCCCCAGGARCTGGCACTGGGCAGGCACAGTGGAGGCAGAATGCTATAAAAAGCCTGTGTGGTGCTGTCAATGGGTTGGATCCAGCCCACAGCCACTTCCAGGAGGCTCCCTGCCCTCTCTGCCAGGGCAGGAACTGGGAGGCTGCCCAAACAGCCAGCTGTTGCCTCTGCAATGGATTGAACCGAGGATCAGGGCTGAAAACATTGCAAGGCTGGTGGGATGGGGCCAAGAGAAGCTCATGAATCTGTATGGGCATGTTAAAGCCTCAGACCAGCTCACACAATCACAGAGCTGGGGCTACCCCATACCTTGCGCTGCCTCCCAGTTTGATTGCCACTTTGCCCAGGGCCTTGTCCAGGTCATCGTGAACCAGGTAAATGTCTTCTGGGCCAAGGCTGTAGATCTCAGCTTTGGAAACAGAAATACAACCCAAGAAATGAGGGGGAGACAGACTCACCAGGCCCTGCTGAGTGGGGCTGTAACGAACCATGGAGGGCAGGGGGACAGCAGGGCTGTCACAGGGGCTGATGGCATTACAGGCTCTGGGGATAACCCAGCTGCTCACCAGCACTGGCGACRCTGAGCCCATTGAGGTTCATGAACCTCCGTGGTTTGAGCAGCACCAGCTCCAGACCCTGGGCTTGGGCCAGGGCCACATCAGCACAGCACCGTCTGTCCACTCGCCAACCCTCGGCCACCGCCAGCTGCCGGGCCATCCGGTCCAGCACCTCCATGCCCACGCTGTGCCGTGTGCCCCGCATCCCATAGTTGCCCAGGCCAGCCACCTGTGACAGGTGTCAACAGGGCTCTGATGGGCCACCGTGAGGCCCCTGGCCCCTGCACGGACCTGATCCCCTCAAGAATGTCTCAGATCAACTCCATTCTCCCCATACCTGGCTGTGCCCTCACGGTCCCAATGCCCAGAGCATTCCCTTCAGTCCCTCTTCCCTCRGTGCCTCCATCAKAGCGAGATCACCCCGGTGCTCGCCTGTGACCTGATACCCCCACGGCACACCCCTCACAGCCCCATTCTCCTC